CTTTCATACATAGATTACTCAGGGACAACAGGCATCAGGTGCGGTCTGTTAGGGTGTGAGGGAGGAGACGGGAGGGTGAGGCAGACGTGGCGGGCAGGACGCGACAGCCTCCAGATGTTGAGGCAAGAAATAGGATGTCGGAGTGTTACGTTAATTCATCATTTGACATTCCATTGAGCTGAGAAACTGACAAGATATCGTATGCTTAGGTTTGTTGGATCTTGACCTCCTGTTTGGAGGACATTGTGCATGAACTAGTGAAGAAGTGTCAGGGCTTCTGGCTACGCAGAACTCTGTCTTTTACCTGCAATTCAGAAAAACGGATTCAAAAGGACTCTTAAAGAATAACTGCGTCAATAATATTAGTATCATTATCATTATTAATATCCATATATTTCCCCTACTTGTTTGTCCTATGCAGGGTGACAGAGGCCTGTAGCCTATCCCAGAAGCAACAGGTACTAGGCAGGGAATAACCCAGGATGCGGCACCAACCTATTGCAGAATAAACACACATTCACATCTATGGACAATGTGGCAACTCCAGCTCACTTTAGTATGCATGTTTTTGGGCTGTGTGGGGAAAGTGGAGAACACGGCAGAATGACATGGGGAGAACATGCAAACTCCACACATGTAGAGACGGCCTGGAGACTCAAAACCAGGTCTTCATACACACACACACACACACACACACACACACACACACACACACACCACGACACCCTTAACCCCTAGTCAGCCATAACCTTAACCAAAAGTCCAAAAGTAACCAAACAAGGCTTTTGGCTTTTTTCTTTTTTGATTGCATTCACAGATTTTTATAAAACTGAAGTTATCCAAATGGGGACCTGAGAAATTTCCCCAGAAGTAAGGAAGTGTCAGGTTTTACCGCACTTTGGGGACATTATGGTCCCCAAATATGATCTATGTACCCCCCCCCCCACACACACACACACACACACGCATATAATTTTTGCATTTCTTACCACAGACTTGTAAACTATATCGAATGTGATTAAGTCAAACACTATTCTCAATGCACACCACTTACGAAAGAGACCAAATTACAGAATACTGTTGTGACATTTCCTCATTAAATCAGCTGTTAAATCCCCCATTCAGCATAAAGTCTTGTGGGACCGGTGATAATCTACTTAAAGATTTCACATGATTCAAGAGCAATGTCAGAATGATCACTGCAGAGTTTAAAGGGCTTTGGAACCCAGTCTATGCATGGGCTGTCCCTTGCGGTCTAACGCCTATAGTTTCTCTTTCAGGCTTCTTGGTCAGACATTTATAGTCCAACATCAACACAATAAAAAAGAAATGAAAAAATATTGTAGCAAAATTGTCTTATTAATGCTGGTGAGGAGAAGCAATGATTGGAGCATCGGTGTGGGAAATCGATCTTCATCATCTGAGAACATCACCATCTCAAATACTTATGTGGTCTTTCTGCTCTGGCTTGTGAAACCTAATCGTTTTGCAAATTATATTTGGCATCATATTACATGCAGCCTTCCAGTAAGTTTGTATGGGTTGGTTGGTTAACATGGTTTAATAGGTTTTGGGGTCTACTAGATTGACAGGACTTATTAACTGGACAGCCAGGTTAAAGCACGGAAGCTCAAAAATAAAACATGACCATAGTACATTCCAAAACAAGCAAAATTCACAACACTGACCAGTCAAATCACTGTTTCATTAACCAGTGTTATAGGCTGCTCATCAGTTATCTTGCATGGTAATCCAATGGAGATTACCTGAACTCAGCGACATAAAATGGATTCAAGCAGAAGGAGCTCTTTAACTAATACATTGCCTTTACTGGAAACTTCTGTGGAAGGACTCTGTCAAAGGGCTTTGCGATGAAGGTGCATTTGTCATTTTGAAAAATCTCGTACATTTGTATGCAGGAGCGTGATTTGTTGTGCTCAGGCAGGGTGCATATCCTTTAGGTTCAGTACTGTCCACGAGATATGGGCTGTTAAGACTCACTCATTTCAATTTGCTGTCAACACCTCCATAATGCTCATCCCATGTCATCTAGCACTAAGAGGCTAATAAATACAGAAATGAAATGGGTAATATTGAAAATTTATCTTCTAACCTCACCTGCCATCCCCACCACATCACAAACTTCAGGCTTCAGTCTAAGCAGAACTCAAACATGTACGTGTCAGAAAGTGATTTCACAACTGGTTCAGATTTTCTCTGTAAATGAAGAATGTGTAAATGTGTTCAACTGATGTCAGAGCACATCTGTCAGAAACCCTGTTTCTTCTTATTTATTATAGGAGTCAATTGCCGAAGGTAATTAGTTGTAGGTATGACTACAGCTAAATGTAAGCGTTAGAAACTCACTGTGTGCATGTGAGTGTGTGACCTGCGATGGACTGGCACCCTGTTTAGGGTTTACGCCGGCCTTCTGATACTTGGGATCCCTTTCATGACTCTGTCCAGGATGAATGGTTGGAAGTGTGATGAACATACCTAAGGAGTTAAGCAGTTTTAAGCTCCATGACGGCATCAGCCTATTAGGCAACCTCACTCCACCCTATTCACCCACGCTTATGACAAACCGCCCAGCTGATTGACTCACACAGATTGCACAGATGGGTGCTTTCTCAGCTGTCCTCGAAAAGCAAATAGGCAGTTCTCAAGGCTTTCTGACTGCTGTCAGAATTGCACCAGGGACATCCATTCCCTTTATTCTGTGCCTCACTCAGTACAGGCTCAGCTTTGCTGAACTTCAAAAACCAAGTGCAATATATTAGCCAGGAAGATCAGCCCTTATTAGAGAAGTCAGGGGATTTTATTGCAAATATGTGGAACGATACAAAACAATGGATAATAACATTCCTCATATTCATCATTCACACTCCATTCATCATTCTCTCTCCTCTTGATTAAGCTGGGATGAGCCTAACTGCATAGGTTCCCACGAGTCGTGTGTGTAGTATATCTCTTGTTCCACTGGAGCAGGACGGCCCAACCGTGTTCTTGGAGATCTACCCCCCTGCATAGCTTAGGCGCAGCCCTTATTTAACAAACCCGAGACAGATAATCATGCCCTTCAGTAGCATCTCGGACCTAGAGTGAGCATCTTCAGTAGCATCTTGGACCTTGCTGCTGTTTCTCAAAGAATTTCCCCATTGTGGGATTAATAAAGTCTAATCTAATCTAATCTAATCTAATCTAATCTAATCTAATCTAATCTATGTTGAAGCTATGCTGACTCTAAAGCTGAGATGCTTTCAGCCGCTATGCCTCTACACTCAATGGTGTACTTGGCCGCTGAGCGTCTTCCCTTCCTGGAGAGGAATCAGGTGTCTGGCCACCAACTAGGCCCTGGTTGGAGGATCGAAGAGTTCATGAATAGTTGAACAAACTGAGTTCTGTCCAGGCAAAGCGGGTATTTGCTCCAGAATGACAGCTGCCCACTCTAGGGTATGGATGATGCATGCTGCCTTTGACCATTCAGTCAGGAAATGATCTGGCTGCAGCTCAAAGTTAAGTCACGGAAGTACTGAGGTGACCCACCTAATGCTGTCCATTAACATGGATGAAGATGGTACTAGAACAAGGTCAGGGGTTGATACTATGGGTAAACAGGCCAGTTGGTCCTGAAGGACCACGATTCATTGAACCATTGACTCATTAAATTGCCAAAGTGGGCTCTGATAATCACATTACATGGCTTCCTGGTAAGTCAGCGAAATACAAAATGTCTTCAGTTTCAGTCAAGCTGACCAAGCACACCCACAGGAAACCACAAAACAACAAAATGAACTCACACTTCTTAATATAGATAATTCCAAAAGAAAAAGAAAAGAACTGCAAGGTGAGTACAAACAAATTGTCCCCAAGAGTCCTTAACCAAAAAGAGTCCTTCTGTAAAAGAAACAATTCAACAGGACCTCAAAGGTCCAGGGTCCAATAGAAAGAAAAACTGACAAAACAGAAATTTCAAGCACTCCAAAGATTGACTTCAATGACTCAGCAGCATTAGATAGGCCCAGCAGACTCAAATACCTGCCTAACGATGTAATAGTCAACAGGTCTGTTCATGGGGATGAGTGCAGAGCTGCAAAAATTTCTGCTTTTGACTGCTCACTGGTGCCCTCTAGTGGTCTCTGCCTTGCATATACCAAACATATAGTGGATTGTACTGATGGTTAGAATTGCTTCCCTCCAAGAAGTTGACCTGCGTTTGATTCCTGGCCACCATGAGGAGATTTGTGGGTCTGTGCCTGTCTCTGGTTGCTAGTTCACATCCTGTTTCTGGCATCATAAGGCTTGCTGAATCCCTAAAAGGCCACAGCGTGGAGAAGCATGTTGGCTGACCACTATAGACTGATATGACATACTTAGCTGCTACACACATCAAAAGACCTGGGCCTCCTCAGACTGTACACTCTGCCCTGTGTTGTCTGCTCAGTCCAGACTGCTGTTCAGGTGAACCCTCCCCCGGTACTGTAACCCTACATATCACCACTGGATCCTCCAGCAAGGCCTTTTAGCCTAAGAAACTGCTCCAGAGGCCCTGGATAAATAACTGATAAATAACTGACCCAGTTTACATTTATATATCTTCAAAGGAGAATAAGATGTTGATTTTCCATTCAGAATGAAAGCATGAAAGCTTTGTACTGCATACTCTGCCTATAACTACACATTTTAGGACTACCATAAAAGATAGGGACTACCCCAGTGTTCTCAGTATTTATAGATTACATACTGTACAGAGTCATATGGATGGTACTGTAGTTGAGGTTTGCACACAGAATCCAAATCGTTGGAAGAAAATTGTACTTACAGTGAAATCATGCAAACGACATTTCAAATGACTCCCCTGTAACAATAAAAACAGACACCAATGCAAACATGTGACAAATAAATTCTGCAAATTTCTTTATAACATGGTAATATTATACAAGGATTGGTTTCAATGGGTGTAGGGGCCAAATCAACTGTAAATCCTCTGCCACTCAAAACACACACTGCACACATGTCCCTACTGTCCATACCCAAATCTACACCATCGATACAATACAGCTTCAGGGAAAAGAATCATTTAAGGAAAGAGACTATTCATCATTGTCTCTTGAGGTCGAGTATGAGAGTCCACCTTCTGGCCGCTGAAGGACTCTGTCTCCTCCCCACACCTGCTCAGTACTCTGGCTGATGTGTTGTTATGGAGTAGTCTAAGTACTCTGATGAATTATTCTTGGCACCCCGTTCTTGTGAAGCCTTGCCGGAGTGCCCACTGTTTGACAGAGTCAACGCCTTTTGTTAGGTCTATGAAAGTCATGCATAGTGGTTGACTTTGATTTCTTGGAGTCTGGCAGTAAAAATCATGTCCATTATGCTCCTATTGGGGTGAAAACCACTCTGGGACCTTCCCAGTGCTGGAGAGCAAGGAACTGCCATGGTAGTTTTTCACAATGCTTTGTCCTCTTTCTTAAAGATAGTTATGGTGAGTGTGTTCCTGAGTTGTGCAGGGATTTTCTCTTTGTCCCATATCCTGAGAATTAACATTGGACATGTCTCAGGACGTCTGGTTTCCCGGCCTTTAGAATTTCATACAGACCAGCAGCCTTACTGGTTTTCATACTCACAATGATGACCTGTACTTCACTCAGGCTAGGTGGTTCTGCCATGTCCTCTTCTATGAGACGCTGTGGAAGTCGTTGCAGGGAATCCATTCTGGGACTAAAGTCCTGGTTCAGAAGGTCCTTAGCAGTGATCCTTGAAGTATAGATTAGTCACACAGCAGTACTGGTTACATGAGATTCTGCCTACTGTTCCTAGTCTTCTAGTGTCCTCACCAAGAACTGGAATTCATCTAGTCGAACTCCAGCCTTCAGTGTATAATCAGGCCATGTTTGAATGCCACACTTGCTAGATGACTTTCAATTGGGGATGCTTCAAAAGAATTCCTCCATTTTCTACTGTGAAGGAGAGTGAGAACTTTCCCTCGCCCTCCTCAGAGAGCATCATTTTTGAGAGGTGGCCTCCTCACATTGCTCCCTGAATATCTGCTACGAACGACTGGGCTCAAGTGGCAATTACCGCTCTGAAGTACGAAGGCAGCACTAGCTCTCAGTTCAGTCCTGGACCTAAACCCTTCAGCCAGCTGGGCTATTCAGGTTGGAGCCAGTGACCCAGAGCACAAATGACAAAATCCTTTAATGTGTTGCCTTTCCTTCTGCGCAAGTGGCTTGTCTTACATCTGGGAGAAAGTAGGGATTGAGAAAGGCCCCTTTGCAATCCACAAGCTCCACCTCACTAATTCTGTTTGCAGCAAATGCATACCACTGCTTGCAAGGAAATTTAATCCAAGACCTTGCTCTTTCTTAAAATTAATAATGTAAATAAATCCTATTTGATGACAGAGCATCAATAAGGCCTCCGTGCTTCTTCCAACCTGCTGATAATGATTTAAGTGCAACGATTGGAAAGGAAGGTTCTATGGGAAGATCATTATGATGTGGTCAATCCTTTCCCAAGCTATCATCCACAAATAAAGCGTTATGCACTAAAAATGATAACTCTCTCCACTACTGGGCCACTGTGAAAACAGTGCTGTGAAATCCATGCATATGGTGTCTTGTGGGTAACCGCATGAACACAACTTGCATCAAGCCCTCTTCAAGCACTTCAACCATTTAGTCTCTGCATTCCATTATATGTATTTATTGCCACTAAAGTGCACAGTTTTCTGACAATGAATAGCTTTATTGGAAGGGCTGGGACAAGTTACTTTGTCATCTTGAGAGAAGTGTTATAGATTTCATTACATTTATTCAGCAGCCACTTTTGTCCAAAGCGATATACAACTAAGAATCACAGAGCAGGGTCAGATACTGTCTCTGGCGCAATTAGGGTTAAGGGCCTTGCTCAAGGGCTCAACTGTGACTTCACTCTGACAGCCACAAAATTTGAACCAGTGACCTTCTGATTATAGGCACAGAGTCCTAATCCTACCCAGATACTTTAATGAAATTCAGTCTTCACATATCCCATCTCGCCCTCCTATTAGACACGCACAGACACACATCCCTGTATGTACAGACAGGTGAGATCAAAGATTAGGGTCAGAGGGTATCCATTTGTCCAGCACCCCTGGAGGGGTGTGTGTGGTTGGAAGATTGTATAATTTGTGTGACTAATGAGAAATGAGAAACAAATTAGTGAACTTTCAGTGATAGAGATGTGACTGAAATATGCGTAACACGTATACAGACACTCCCTGGGTTACAATGGTCAATATTTCGACTTCACGGTGGGTATTCCTGTTCCGTTCTGTTTTTCACTTTCTGTACATTATTCAAAAAATTACACAAGATGTTCAACACTTTCATTTTGCCCAGCTGTAGGCTAATGTAAATGTTCTAGGCATGTCTAAGGTAGGCTAGGCTAGGCTATGATGTTTGTTAGGTTAGGTGTACTGTGTTAAAATGCATTTTCTCCTTACTACAGTATACTTTCGTTTTCCAATAGGTTTATCTGAACATAACCCCATCGCAACCCGGGTAGTATCGGCACATTAATACATACATCAGAATACAAAATATATCATATTTTTCTCATTACCATTTAAAAGCAACATACTGTCAGATGCTTGCAGGAAGTCATGTGAATCTTTGGAAAGTGACCTGGTTTTATTCAATGTTGACCAAGGGAATTCATTTCCTGCGTGACTGGGATCAAAGAGGGGTATATAAGATGTGTGGAAAGCAGATAATCAAGCTTCAAAGTTGAGTTCCTTGTAAGACCAGAGTGGTCTCAAGATGGGAAAACACTGCATGAAAGTGGTCTTGCTATGGTATGGATGGTAGTCCTCCTTGGACAAGTCTATTAAGAGGAGTAGAAGTTAGATTTATATACTAAAGAGTCAAAGTTTGAAATACCTGTGTGCATATGGTGTATTTCTAAAGGAGTCTGTATATGTGGGTCCCACTTTTAAGCATGAAGGAAGTCATGGTCTTAGGTTGCTTTTCTGGGCATGGCGGTGGTCTTTACCAAATCTGTGCCAGTCTTGACCATCATAGCTCTCATACATAAGTGGAAAGTTCAGGACTAGAAAGTAAAAATCCAGACCAAGGTTTTGTTTCAACCAACCAGTTAATTGTAAAGAGTCACAGTCACAGAGTACACAAGAGGTTGGTTGAAACAAAATCTTGGTCTGGATTTTTACTTTCTGGACCTGAAATTTCCACCTCTGCTCCCATATGTTTCAAATGCATGCAAGTCCCATCAGATTATGACTAATTAGAAATCCTTTATTCTTCAGTAAGATAATAACCTGAAAAACACATCAGATGATAAAAGAAATCACAAACTAATGACCTGGTCTGTCAAGGAAAACTATCCCACAAGCACCCCACTCTATGAGGAATTTCAGGTGATATTTACTGAACCCCATAACCTTGACCAGGATAAGAGTTTTTTGTGTTTTTTGTCAAATAACATTCAATGTTATGCATTAGGTTTAATTGAAAAAGCGGCATATTTACAGATATCTTATTAGAAAATTTGCTGATACCTTTTGCTTTGATTTTTTTTTATGCAGAATAACCTTAATATGACTTTAATTGTTTGAAAAGTAAAGGTATTTTCCAGGTGTAATTAGCCAATCAATAATATCCCACATTATATCTACTATTTATTTTACATCAACTTATTATTCTGAAAAAATAACTTTTTATGATTCTGTCTATATGCTGTGTATAGTCACAGGTACCATTCAGATTAATGAATGTCATTTGTCATATTATCACAATGGTTAGTAGCATATGGCACTGAATTCCTACATTATTCTGCAGTGGGTTTAGTAATAGCAGCCAGCAACCTATCTGGTACGCTAATTCATTCTCTGCAAATCAGCTCTCAGGTGCAGAGATTCAGTTCAGGAGATAATGTCACTGGCAGCTGTAAGACTGGAGCCAGTTTGGGAGCTGTAATGCACTGCAGCCTTCTCATTTAGGAAATCATCTGGCCTGCCATTCATTTCCCAGTCTTTTATCAAAAATAAAGTGCCAACTGGACATATAAAATAAAATTAAGTATTATATATTATGTAACCAGCAAAACTCCCCAAAGCACTCTGCTTCACCTGTGACACTAACAGATAAATGCATAAATGAACAAATAAAAAAGCTGATACAGAGTCTGCACATCGTACTTTGTTTCAAAGAAGTCAAGCATCATGACCTCATCAAACACAGCAGGGCAACTAATAATGTTACAGAGTGTAAAGAAATGAAAACTTGATTCTGACGTTTCACCTATCATCTAAAGAAAGAGCTCTCTATCTATACTGCATAATCATATTCTCTAATTGCATCATGTGCAACATAAAGACCTGTGTTTGGTATTTTTTTAGTAAATGTTTACTAAAGCCCTCAGGTTTTCTCTCTAATCCAATTACAAGCTGTGGCTGCTTTGGATCTCTTTCAGGGATCTTCTGTATGTTCATGCAATGTTGTGCTGTATACCTTATGATGGGATTTTAGTTTAATTATAGAACCCCTGTTTTGTAGTGCTTATTGCTGACATATTAATGAAGACACTCGACAATAATGAAATCATTAACAATGAGCTTGATGGTTTTGGCATATATTAATAACAAAAGTACAGAGTTGAAACGCATAAACACTTTCACTGTGTGACAGAATTGTTACTTGACGAAGATTTATTTTATACGATGAACAGCTTCATTATCTTCCCAACTTCTGAGTGACTGCAATTTTTGTGGCACTTGACTAGTTTACATGACAACAAATCAATCATTCTGTGTTGTTGAAACTAACATTAGCTTTACAGTATATAGTATATAATGCATGCTATTTATATTGCTGCTTTGTACTATAAAGTAAAATGACATGCAAATATAGTAGGGTCTTTTCAATTGGTTAATTCCATGAGCTTCAACAAGCACGTGGCAAACTGAAACACATGGGAGACCATGCCTTTTGCTGCCGAGGTTCCTGTTTGGGGGAACGCCCTGCCAGTGTATCATTGTTATTAGTCAATATGACACAGCTTTGGGCAGTGGTGGCTTAATGGTTAGGGAAGCACACTTGCAATTGAAAGATTGCTGATTCAAATCCCTGACCAGCAATGCACTGCTGAGGTACCCTGAGCAAGGTACCGCCCCCAAGCACTGCTCCCCGGGCGCTGAATTAGCTGCTCCCTGCTATGTCATGACGTTAAATGCAGAGGGCACATTTTATTGTTGTGCACTTGTGTGCTGTGGTGTGATAACAATGATCACCTAATTCAAATTCTTTCTTCTGTATGACAAAATAAGCAGCATAGGAGAAAAGTCAGACCAAAACAAACTGGTGAGAGTTTATTTAAAACCTGGATGGTATTTTACATTCTACTCCACATTTGCCAGGGAGTCCAAGTGAATTCAGGGCTAGTATGTACTTGCAGATCTTGGTGCTGCATCTTTCACAAGCTGATTACACTTCATGGATGAATTTGCGAAGCCACAAGTTAAAACGGGTTTTTTGAGCATTGACGGTCATTTCTCTAAACTTAGCTATGTCTTACAGATTAAGGAAAGACCTTAATATAAGAGTGAGTGATATACAATGATATAAAAGCTGCACCCAGCCTCAAAGTGTTTAAGAAAAGACTCACGACTCACTTATTTCTCTTGAACCCAAGACCTTTGAGTTGCTAGCACAAAGCTCTAATTGTTGAGATACAGGAGCTACAAGGCATGAGAAATGCAT